TAAAGGAAGGGGCTTAGGGAACTTAAACTTTTACCTTTTGAAATAACAAAGGAAAAGAAACCAGTGAAATCCAGTTCAACCTTAGGAAATTCTCTATTATTTACTTTAATCTCCTTAATCACCTCAAAAGAAATGGCTGCTCCTTCTATATAGTTTCCCAAAGTTGTCATGTCCGCAAATGTCTCGCCTGTAAGATTTACCTTGGCCCCACCTGCCTCTTGTGCAGACGAACCTCAGAGACTGCCCCCACATCTCACTCGAGTCCACAGCCTCATCTGGCTACAGCTGGCACATTCTTCCTGCCACCCTCTCAAGAGAACCAATCAAAGCTAGAGAATGTCAGAGTCAGCAACCTCTGTGGTCTTTAGGGCTTCTGCTGGGCTCAGCGGAACCCATGGGGGGTGCCTAATGTGGTCTCAGGAATGGGCAAAGAAATGTAATCGGAGAATATAGGGATAAAAAACAAGGGTGTTGATAGAGAGATAAGAGAAAGAACGAAGAAAGACATGTTAGATTTAGATGGAGAGGGCCCAGCAAGGAGCGCTCCACAGAGTTGCTCAGTGATGCCGGGGCTGTCATTACCCATCTCCGATGTTCAGCTCCGGAAGAGCTGTAGACCAGTGTGAGAACACCAGGATTCCCATGCCCGTGCAGCCCCTGGTGAGTGGGGTGGCCCTGGGCAGAGCACTGGGTCTGTTCCTCATCTTAACTTTGATCCCCTTGAAGATTCCTTTGAGTTTCAATAGTTCCTTGTTCTGTTCTGAGCCTGTGCCTTCTTGAGAACTTGCTTTTGGGAATGTTCCTTGAGATGATTAGAGAACCTGCTTGTTTTGTAGGCCAGGCAGGCCTACAAAAAAAGTGTAGTGTGAACTAGAAGGGGAAACCATCCAAGTTCATTTATGCAAATACTCAAATAGGAGGACCCTCCTAAGTCAGAAGGTTAGCTAATTGGTCAGAGCAAAGGAAGCTGTGGAATCTCCGCCTTTTAAGGCCACTGAAATGATGGGCCCAAGCGAACATCTTGTATCTGTCCCTCTGCCTGGGGGTAGCATGAGGCTTGGATTCTGGGGCCTCGCAAAGCGTGCAGCAGGCCTGGTTTTTGGCATTGGCAGGACGCATCATCTCTCCTTCCATAGCCCTTAATGAAGTGTGCAGCCCTGGTCCTCAGCACGTCAATAAAAGAGTCAATAAACCTGGCGGATGGGGTTGGGACCGAGGGGCTGAGATGCAGAGGCCGCAGATCCACGGGGCAGGTGTCAGCTCTGCTGTGTGTCACGCCCCAGCACCCAGGGATCAATAGTCAGCTCCGAAGAAAGCCCCAAAGCCTGTGCTCTGAAGTCTCCTCTCTAGACCCATTTTTTGCCCAGGGCAGAGCAATGCCAGCCGGTCCCTGCTTTGCTTGCAGTTGTTCTACCCCATGCCATCCGGGGCGCCAGCTGCTTCTGTTTCTTCCTGATTAAGCCCTCCGGACACCCCAATGGATGCATATTTAGTGAGTGCCCACCTGGCAGGAGAACTTGGAGATGGCAACTCTAAGCAGCCCAGAGGCTGGCGTGGGTCCTGCTTTCTGTGTCTGCTGTCTGCTGACAGTAGGCGCGGAGCCCTGGTGGACCCGGCAGTATATTTTCTGCATGCCGTGCTGCCAGACTCCATTCCTGCCTGCTCTGCATCTCTTTAGATACCCTTATCTTATCTAATTACAAGGAATTTCTGATTAATTTTGTGGCCTCTGCTCCAGAGGACCGCTTATCGGAGAGGGCCTTGTATTTCAACCTTGTCATTCTTTTGTTGTTTGTTTTTAAAGGCCGGACAGCTGAGAGGGGGATGCTTGCTGAGATCTCACTGGAATTGGGGCCGTGGGGGGAGGGGAAGGGAAGGGAAGCAGGCAGACCTGGGATTTGTGTACCCGCTCCATCCCCCGGCCTGTGCGTGGAGACAGCTGGCTGCTTACTTCCGTGACAGCCACATGGTACCCAGCCACACAGAACAGGACCGGGGCAGGGACGCGTCGGCTGCCAACCTCTCCAGATCCCTTTGATATTTCCGACAGAGCGGTAAAGGACTCTTGACTATCACATTCTGCCCTGCCTCTCTCACCTCCTCCAAGACTCCTCCGTGTAGTTTCCATGGCTACCCCCAATCAGATCCGGCTTCCTGCGAAATTGGATTTCAAAGGAGGACAAGGCTTCAAAGGAATTTGTCCATTTAACAGAATGTCATTAGGAGTGAGGCTGGCTGCTGAACCAGGGCCCCCCCGATGATGAAGGAGGGGTCGCGCTCATGGGTGGAGGCAGGTTTCTGTCTGCCGTGAGGAGCCTTGATGCAACATGACAACGCCATATTGGAATCTGCCAGTCACCCAGGCACGCTCTCCAGCCCTGCACCGCCCTCTCCCCGGCTCTCAAACCCGGCGTGGATGCATGGCTGCTCCTCCGTGTAAGGAAGCTCTGATAGGCAGTGAGGCCTGAGAGGATGGGCAATGACCTGGGTTTATCGCTTCTTACCAAACAGCTCATTAACTTGTAGCCTATAGTCGCATCTGAAAAATAGCCTAACGGAGAGGGGCTGGAAGCCAACTTTCCTCCCACGGCAGAGAGGGGAAGCAAGGTCAAGCCGAGGTCACACACAGGAGAGACTCGGCTTCCTTTGCATTTTTTTTTTTTTAAAGAACAGTTTTAAATTTAGAGAAAAATTGTAGTCATCGTAAAGAAAGTCCCAATATATCCTCCCTTGCTTTTTAAAAAATTAAATATATATATTTTTCATTGATTTTTTTTTTTAACAGAGAGGAAGGGAGAACATCGATGAGAGAGAATCATTGATCAGCTGCCTCCTGCACATCCCCTACTGGGGATGTGCCCACAACCAAGGTACATGCCCTTGACCAGAATCAAACCCGGGACCTTTTGATCCACAGGCCGACGCTCTATCCACTGAGCCAAATCGGTTTCGGCTATCCTCCCTTGCTTTTTAACATGTCAGAAGTACTCAAAAATGATTCAGAGCAGCTCCAGTGTTGTGGAAGGAGCAGTGAGTGTGGTGAACTGGTCCCACCAGGAGCCTGGTGTTCACTCCGAAGCCTGGAGGAGGCAGCATGTTCCCTTTTCCAGAGCAAAAAGGAGCCAGGTGCCCAGAGACCCCTGCCGGCCCTTTCCCTCCACCGTCAGCCTCACCCCAATTTGCTGCAACTTGCCAGTGGGTCATGTGATCCTGAAATCAAGGCACCGTTTCTCTTCAGAAAGCAGGGCATAGACCTGTCAACGTGCTCAAAGCTACTGCAGCCCTTCAAGCAGGGGTGGGGAACCTTCTTTTCTGTAGGGGCCATTTGGATAATACCATTCGCTTACTATAATTCATTCAGTATAAAGGTATGTTGCTATGAAAAAAAAAAAAAAGCTCTTTGATTTATTGAATTTTGAGTCCCACCTGCAGTTGCCTTGGCAGGGCCAGACCAAATGTCTTCCCCGCCCCCTTCACCCCCCTCCCCACCCGTCCCTCGCCTTAAAGGATCGAGTCACCACATCCTGGGACTGTCTCTGGAGAGGAAACCATGCCAGGAGCAGGCATGTTACCACGCGTGCTTCTGGGCAATCTCTCCATGCCGCTCCTGTTCCCATATCCACGGTTTCGTCTCCCCGTGTCTCCCTGAGGCTGCTGTGAACACGGACTCACCCACCTTTTCCCCGGGTCCTCTCCGACCATTCTCAACCCCGGCCACATAGCAGGCAGGGTCCGAGGACAGAAAGCCCATTTTTCACAAAGAAGGGAAAGGGTAGAGGTGGAGTGAGATGTGAGAGATCACACACCACACAGGGGCCCAGCTCAATGCTGGTCAGCGGCCCCCGGTGTCACTCAGTCAAGTTAAAATCCCTCATTTCTGCCTTTCAAGTCCCTTCGCAACAGAGCTCCCATTTTTCTTCAGCACCATTGTTTCTGTGCGCCACCCAGCCAGAGAGGGCTGCGGACTGTCCCCAGCGGGAGGCTCTCCCATCTTTACCTGCTCCTGGAAAGCCCACCGAAAAGCCCTTCTACCTCTTCACAGTCTGGGTGTTCATGCCAAAACCGGTTTGGTTCAGTGGATAGAGCGTTGGCCTGTGGGCTCAGGGGTTCCGAGTTCCATTCCGGTCAAGGGCATGTGCCTTGGTTGCGGGCACATCCCCAGTGGGGGGTGTGCAGGAGGCAGCTGGTCGATGATTCTCTCTCATCGATGTTTCTAACTTCTCTCTCATCGATGTTTCTAACTCTTTATCCCTCTCTCTTCCTGTCTGTAAAAAATCAATAAAATATATATTTTTTTAAAAAGTCTGGGTGTTCAGAGTCCATCTCAAATGGCATGTGAGGCATGAAACACACATATATGGCACCTTCCTCCTCTTACAGTCTTCTCCCTCCTTTTAACACCCACGGCACTTTAAAACTTCCTGTGGCACTTGGTCTATTGCACTTAACAGTAACGACAACAACGCCTCTTTCTCTGGAGATGCTGCAGTCTCAGGAGTTATGGAAACATCCAGAGCCATGCTGTCTCCCAGCCGCCCTAGTGGGAACACCGTCACCCCAGGACCCTGACACCGCCTGCGTGTGACTGAGGGGCAACACCCGCTGTCCTCCCTGGGTCAGCTCCTGGGGTCCCCTCGCCCTCCCTCCGCTTTCTCCCCGGCAGCCCCTCCTGTCCGTGAGGGAGGACGGGGCACGGCAGCGCCCTCTGTGCACCGCTTTGGTGCTCCCCAAGGTGGGTGCTTTGGATCATCCATTGGGAATGGACAGTCATTCCCTTCCAGTGTGGGTGGGTGTGGGTGTGGGTGGGTGTGGGTGGGGGTGGGTGGGGGTGTGGGTGGGGATTGGGGGGCCTAAAGGACACAGCCTGAGCTTCCCCCCCCCCCCCCAGGTGGGAGGCGGGCAGGGCGCACAGGTGTCTCCCTCCCCCTCCCCCCCACCCCCCCCCGCTGCGCGCGCCGCTTCCTGGGCGGCCCCGCCCCCGCCCTGCGCTCCGCCGGCCGGAGGTCCCGGTGCAGGTGCCGCCGCCCCGCCCGCCCCGCGCCCCGCGCCCCGCGCCCGCGCCAGCCTCCGCCGCGGGCCATGCAGGCCGCCGCCCTCCCCGAGGAGATCCGCTGGCTCCTGGCAGGTAACGCCCTGGCCCCGGGCACAACCTCTGGCGCTGCCAGCCTCCCGAGGCTGGGCTTTCTCTCCCTGCAGCGCCCACCACCTCCTGGACTCCAGGCTTCCAGAGGCTTCCGCCTGCAAAGCCCGGGTGCTGGCTTCCACCCTTCATCCCCCTCAGTCCCCCCTTCGTTTTCTTCTCAGGGTGTCTCCACCCCCCTCTTACCCTCCAGCCTCTGACAAACTTCAGGCCAGGTTCCTGCAGACACACACACACCCCTGGCCAACTAGCCTGGTACACACACACACACACACACACACACACACACACACCCCCACCTAGTCTGGTACACACACACACACACACACACACACACCCCTGGCTGGCCACCTAGCCTGGTACACACACACACACACACACACACACACACACACACACCGCCACCTAGTCTGGTACACACACACACACACACACACCCCTGGCTGGCCACCTAGCCTGGTACACACACACACACACACACACACACACACCCCTGGCCACCTAGTCTGGTACACACACACACACACACACACACACCCCTGGCCACCTAGCCTGGTACACACACACACCCCTGGCCACCTAGCCTGGTACACACACACACACCTGGCCACCTATCCTGGTACACACACACACACACACACACACACACTCCAGGCGGCTCCTGGTATCCGGGGGCCCAGGGTGCGGGTGAAGGGGAGTTTCACCCCGGCCTCCCTCCCCAGCCTCAGACCTCGGGGCCGGGGGCCCTGCTTCGCTGACCCTCGCTCAGGGTAGTGGCTGCCTGTTCCAGCGGTGCCCGCGGTGGCGTGTCCACCTGCAGGCGAGGGCCTGAGCGGCCTGGGAGGAGGAGCCCAGGCCCTGGCACTCAGACCCTCCCAGCGCTCAGAGAGGCTTTTCGCTCCTGGCACATCGCCCGCTCAGGCCACACTTTTCCTGGCGAAAGCCGCTTGCTTTCCGGTACTGACCTTCCCAAAAAGAGGCCCGAGGCCTACCAGGTCCGGGAGGAAACTGCTCAGAGTGAAGCCTGTTGGCATCGCGGGCCATTCCTGACACACCTTTAGCAGATGGCCTGCTTGGGGCCTGTCAGCCTTTTGGCAAGCAGGAGTCTCCACCCCGCTCCAGTTTCTCTCCCTGGAATTGGTTTTAGATCTCCATTACCTTGTTATCTTGGTATAAATGCCTCCTAATCAAATATTTGGCAAGTCCTTTCGGTCTCTGTAGCACTGTTTCCATTCTGGGTTGTTTCTGGGTAAAAGCTGTCAACTAGGTATTTCTCCTGAGGCGACCTTTGCCAAACCTAGGACCTGAGGAACCGTAAGACCTCAGCGTGGAAAAGCGTTTGCGGGTGCAGGGGCATCGCCGGGGGGTCTAGGCAGAAGCCACCCAGCTGCCCTGTGGTTCCCGTTCGATGTGCCCAGAAAGGCTGCGATAGCTGACCTCCAGGGGGCAAAGAACTGTTGGCAAACCAGTTCTGCCCTTGCACTGAAATGTAAAGATGCAAAGTGATTCCTTTTACGGGTATCTGTCCTCTGACGAGAGGAAACCCCCTGGACAAGCTTGTTAAACCGAGTTGCCATGTTTGTGGGCGGCCTCGGTGAAAACGCCGTTTTATTTTCAGAGACTCGGAGGAAACCCACTCCTTCAGCATTTTTTTTTTGTTTTGTTTTTTGATGTGCGGTTCTTTATTGTTCAGACCTGACACTTTGTAAACAACTCATTTCTGCACCTGCCACCTTCCTTTAGCTTAGATTATTTTCCTGTTAGCTGACTGGTTTTAATTGAAGTCTTCAGATCTCCCTCCAAAGCAGAGCCTTCGCTGACAGGTGGAGCAGGGTGTGGATGGAGATTAATTGCAATTAGAGTCCCGTTCTGAGGGAGAGAAAACACTGCAGAGGTGGGATTCAACCGGTCATTCTGTTGAAAAAAAATGTTTGAAGAATATGTTTTAGAAAAGTTCATGGAATCATAGCCACATATTGGTTATAGGTTTGTTTGTTTTTAATTAAATACTGTCTCTGGTATAGAGCCAACAGAATTACTTGCTATACTACAAATAATTTGTGTGTGTTAGAAACCGTAATGGCTATCACTTTGGCATAGGTTGCTGTTTGCTCGCTCTCCCCAACCCCCTCACATACGCTTTAAAAAAATTTTTTTTAATTGATTTTTTACAGAGAGGAAGGGAGAGGGATAGAGAGTTAGAAACATCGATGAGAAAGAATCATCAACCAGCTGCCTCTTGCACCCCTCCCCCCACACTGGGGATGTGCCCGCAACCAATGTACATGCCCTTGACCAGAATCGAACCCGGGACCTTTCAGTCCACAGGACGATGCTCTATCCATTGAACCAAACCGGTTTTGGCCACACACACTTTTTAAAGTTGACTATTGACATCTAGATCTTGAGCTCTGTATGGTCACTCAGTGGAGGGAAAAGGCTGCCATGTGGGGTTGGAGTTCCCACTTTCATAAACCAAGGCCTAAGCGTTTGCACGTGACTGAATGCTGATCATCATAAGCCATAACTTAAGCATTTATTTACTTATCACTACATGGGCATAAACGATAGGGGTGCTGTTGACATAATGCATATACATTTACAAGGTAAAATATGCAAAACATTGTGAAAGGTTATGCCAAAATTATATACATTGAAAAAGGAAGCAGAAATTCTGGAAGTCTAAAGTTAATTTTCTTTCAGGCTAACATTTTAAACATTTGAAAATGTTTCATTCAACCCAGAAACTACTTTCAGGGACCTGTGTTACTGAAATGAAAGGACATGAGGTGTATATAACATACATCTAGCCCAGCCGGTGGGCTCAGGGATTGAGCATTGACCCAGGAAGCAGGAGATCTCCATTCAGTTCCAGGTCAGGGCATGTGCCTGAGGCGGAAGCTAGATCCCTGGAGTGGGGCATGCGGGAAGCAGCTGATCAATGGATTCTCTCTCATCACTGATCTTTCTATCCACCCCCCTTCTCTTTACTTCCTCTCTCTGAAATCAATAAAAACATTTAAAAAAAAAATACACCCTAAATGTCCATGAGTTGGGGAATATGTGGAGATTATATGAATAAATTATTCATCTTATGGAATATTTTGCAGCCGTTAAATGGATGTGATGTGTATATGTGTGTTTGGGAAGCATCCATAACAGATTTTTAAGACTAAAAAGCAAGGTGTACAAATTACCCCTCCCCCCAAAACAAAACAAAGTACCCACAGCCTTCCTGTTGTATGTGTTTGCGCAGCCTAGGAAGAAGTCAGAGAGCATCTACACCTGTTAACACTGCTTTCCTCGCGAGGGATGTGAGAGGGTGGGAGAGAGCGGGATTATTAATTATACTTCCTACATCTTCCAGCTGTTTGAACTGTGACAATGACCATATATTGCTCTTGTAATCAGGAGAAAGCAGCCAGTAAGGTTACTTAAAAGAAAAAGGAACAAACAAAAGACAAATAGAACCTTAGAGAGATCAGAGTGCTAAGGGGCCATTAACCAAGATTGTGATTATATTTTTCTCCTCCTAGCCCTTTGGGAGTGTGGGGGGAAATTTTTTTTTTTTTTTTTTTTAATATTTTCTTGGATTTTTGGTAAATGTTCAAGCCGGGGGAAGCTTCTAGACTAACTCAGGAAACAGCTCCCTCAGATAGACTCTGTCAAGCTCTCATATAGAAAGAGTAGCTAGTCTCTATCAGCAAATAAGTATCTTCTAGATAAGCGGCGTGAAGGCCGGTACTGCATTATTGAAAGCGGAGGAAATATTCAGGGCTGTTTTCAAACAATGAGGCTTCAGACGCAGAGGTTATCTTTTTGTTTTTTTGTTTTGTGATAACCATGCTGAAAACAAATACAACGGGTGCTGGCAGTTTGCATAATCTCTGTTCCACAGATAGAAGCATAATCAGCTTCTGGCTTGTCTTTCTAGCCTGGCTTTCGAAGTCAGAAGCACCAGAGGCAAGTATGAAGCACAGAGAGTAAATATTTATTTGGTTCACAGTGTATTCTGTGTGATGGAATGGCACCTACTGACTTCACCTATTATATATAGCTAACAGGGCCCAGCTGCCTACCAAGTACCTAAATCCTTCTCGTAATATGGACTAAAGCCAAAATAACACCCACACCCTGGCTGCATTTAGTAGCAATTGCTGTGTTAGTGCTGATTCTGACATGCCCATGGTTACTTATTTTTAAACTTCCTCCGAAAGAAGCAGTCATTAATCATTTCCTTCCAGATTGTTCTCCAGATTTGTATTGGTCGATGCAGCCGACCATAAAATCCTATTAACATAGTAAAACTCCGGCTCTGTGGAGCCCACAGGCTTGACTTGCTCTGGATAACTGGGGTTGTTCTCTTTAAGCTCTCTAACTTTTTTTATGATAAACATTTGTGATCTTTTTTTTTTTTCCTGTATGGCATTAGGAACTTCTCTCACTTCCTCAACCAACCAGTCTGTGTTCAGAACACTTCAATTCAGAGTTGTTATCATGGATCATCATCGTACTTTCAGAAATATGTCGAGTTTTGGCTCAGGGACGTTTCTGCCATCATTACAGCTGGATTGCTCTGGGAATGTCTATGTCTGGTTTTTATTTTTATTACTGCACTGCTCTCTCTGCATCTCTATTCCTAATGCTGCTGGAAGATGAGATAACCGAGTCTGTTGGAATTGAGATGTGGGTAAAGGAAGGTATGTCTGGTTGAACACAGGACCCAAACCTTTGGGTGTGGCCTTTGTGGCTTATATTTTGGCTGCTTACAGCATTTTTTGCTTGATTAAAAAAAAAGATCTTTATTGTTGAAAGTATTATCTCTCTCTCTTTGTCCCTCATTCACACCCTCTAGCCCACCGAGACCTCCCCGCCCCAGGCTCTCTCTGTTCTGGGTTGTATAGACCTAAATTAGTGGTTCCTAATTGGGGTAATTTTGTTTCTGGGGGGGGGGGCCTTTTGGCAGTACACGAAGACATTTTTCA